GGGTTGGTGGGGTGAGGGAGAAAAGAGGGAAGAAGACTTGGTGGGAAGAGGAGGAGGGTTCTAGGTGGGAAGGAGAGGGAGAAAGAGAAGAGTTGAGCGAAAAGAGTTGGATTGACAGGAGAAGAGGGAGAGGAGGGAGAAGGTGACTGAGTTAGAAGGAGAGGGGGAGAGGATGAGGGAGAGGTTAAGTGAGAAAAGGGTTTGGTGAGGAGAGGGAGAGAAGAGGGAAGAAAACTTTATGGAAAGAGAAAAAAGGTGGCTTCATTAGAAGAAGGAGGAGAAACGGAAAAGGAGATGGATAAAGGAAGACAAAAAATGAGACGAGAAGGAAAAATGATATGTTACAGTGTATTTTTATTTAAACAAATTAAGTAAGTAAAAATATACTAACCCTACAATTCTAGCCACTACTAAAAAAAATTTGTATTCCAATCAATGTTTTTAGTTTAAATATATGGATAGATGTAATTTTTGTGGTATACATTTGTTGAGAAACCAATGAGTGAGGTGTTATATTTGTCTATGTAATATAGTGTGAGCTGTCAAATATTTAAATTATGGTAGTTAATTAATTTTTATGTATAATTTATAGTTATAAATTCTTAATAAGAGTACTTTAAAGATTTACTTATTATTATGTTTAGGTATTTATCTTTTAATTTAATTTTTTTATAATTTTTATTTAATATAATAGACAATTTATTATTAATAATTATGAAATACTATTTTTAATTTTATAAAATTTAAGAAAAAGTCTTGTAAGATATATATAATTCTAAATGAATAATTTTGTATGTAGTAATTTTATACTTTATTACATTTTATTGCTTTTAGACGAATGGTTTGTTTGTATTTTTATACTTTATTTGATTTATTTTTAAAATTTTATTTTATAATAATTCTCATGCTTTATTACTTGTTAAAAAAAATTAGGTGAGATCATATTTCAGCTAACAAATTACTTTTAACCATGATGAATAAGTGAAATATGATTATAGGAATCAAAATTATTATACATACAAGTATAAAAATAAGTACTGATGAATTTTTTAAAAACACACATAAAAATGAATACTGTATTGCCTTATTTAAATCTGGTCCATTCTCATTGCTCTCTAAAATTACCTCAAAGACATTTAGAAGTTACTATTTTTTTTTGTGATGTCATGTAATGTACATTCTCCAATTGAACTTTTAATTTTTTTAAATTTTATTTAAATATAAATCTTAATTTATTTTTTATTATATTTAATTTTTAAAAGCTTATATCTTTAATTTAGTCTTAATAAATTTAATAAAATTATTATTTTTGACATACTATATGAGTGTTAACAAATTAAAATAATTTTTTTAAACAATTAAAAAGTACATTATATGATTATTTCAAGTTTCATATTTAAAAAAAAGGGTAATTTTTTAATTATTATTATGAAATTTTATTATATTAAATAAAAAATATAAATTTTTAAAATATTTTTTTTAAATAATAGCAAAGGTCACATAATTTATTAAAATATGAACTCTTAAAAGTAATTTTTAAATAACTTATAAATTAAAGATTGATTGAGACATAGGAAGCTGCAGAAAACAAACAAAAAAAAGAGTACAGAGGGTAGAAGAGCACGTGCTGACTACTATATAGCACGTGATCGTGTTGGTGGACCTAACGAACTTTCCAGTAATCTAAAATTTATTAAAATGCAACGACGACAAGCAATATGTATATTTTTTAAAATGTAATTAAATTAAAATTGTGGAAAAAAAAAAAGAAACATCGTATTCATAACCAATGCACGTGGTGCTTTTTTTTATTAAAATTTTGATTAAGTGCTCAATAAATAGACTTACTCGTTATTTTAAATTAATTGTGATTAAAATATACACATTACTTATCAATTAAAATCATTGATATTACCATATTAAAATTTTAATTGAAAAATAACAAAAGACCAAGTTGTTATATTTAAAATATCAAAATTGTATTATTAAATAAAACTAAAATTATAGTAAATCACGTGATTATCGAACATGAATGAGTTTAAGTCTATTATTTATAGCTTGTTCTATTTGTAGTGTAGCTACGGTTTTTCTCTATCTTATGAAGGTAGATCTCATATTGTGTTTACCTAAAGCTTATTTGTACTTATTTTTAAACTAGTTTTACCAAAAAATGTCATAAAAATTATTTTAAACAATATTCAGTTTATTAAAATTTGCTTTTAATATATTTTTATTTTTATCTTTATAAATAATTTGTACTCACATAAAATTAATTACTTTCACTATGCAAGCCTAAATCATAATACATAACTAGTTATGCAATCAATGCCGAGGCATATTCTTTAATATTTTAAACATTTTTAATTATTTTTAAAATATTTATTTTGTTAATAGATATTTATATTCAATTATTTGAGCATTTCTATTAATGAAATAAATATATTTTTAAGTACCAAAAGTATAATAACAATAGTTTTCTATCTTAAAAAATTATTTTGGTATAATATTTTAATATTATATTATTTGTATTTTTAGAGATTATTTAAAAATTAAAATTTATATACAGTATTTTAAAAATATTTATCAATTAAAAAATAAATATTTATCTTTAAAGTTAATATTAATCTTTATTATGTTAGTTATTAAAATAAAATTTAAATTTAAATTATAAACTAATAGTTAAAGGATTATATTTTAATTTTTTACATAATTAGAGTAAGGTATACCCTTACCCTGACCAAAGAACATAACTAAAAAAATATATATCATTATTCACTTATCTTTTAAGTGAAAAAAATAACTCTAACACTTCAAAAATTATTTTACATTGTTCATATTATTTTTATCAAGTAGATAATATTCTCATAACAGTTTCAATATTCACATTAAACTACAATGATATTATTTAAAATTATTAAATCATCTTTTATAGTTTTATTATTTTTTATGGTAAATTTTATTTTAACCTTTATATAAAATATTAATTTTTCATTTTAGTTTATTTATGAAACACATTTTTTTTTATAACTTTTTTGTACAATAACTAAAATTAAAAACATATTATATATAAAGACGATAATAAAAAATATATCATGTATATAGATAAAAAATATGAAATTAAATATAAGATAACGTTTGAAATTATTTTATTTATTTTTTATTTACAATTATTTTATGGGTCTAAATAAAAAAAAGGTTTATATAAGAAATAACAAATGATTTAACTAAATTACATAAGTTTTAATTAAATAAAAATTACAGTACACACTTAAAAAAATGGAGTATTTTAACTATGAGTTATACATAAAATATTTATCACATGAAAATAAATAAATATAAAGGCAGTGATAAAGTTCATAAGGAAAGCAATAGTAATAGTATACTAGCTTGACTAATACATTTTTATATGTATACAAAAAGTTGTTTAACTATATCTTAGTTCGGTTCTATGAAAAAAGTTTTTAATTTATTCTTAACTATTATTAGAAATAAGATGAATATTAATATTATATATTTTTAATTTTGATCCTATCTATAATGACATGACTAAAATAATAATATTTTTACATATAAGAATTTATTTGAATTTTCCATTAAAACATCAAAGTAAGAAAAAAAAAACTTGATTATTATGCCAAGCAATTTACTTAAATCCAACATACTTCATTTTCTTATGCTAAAAGTTGGTAAGAAACTACAAGCAAAGTTAATACAATTAATTTAAATTTGTTCAAATTTCATTTTTTATTTGTATGCATGAAAAAATTGATTTTTTTAAAAAATTTATGAAGAGGCTTACACTTAATTTCTCAACTAGTAATTAATTTTTACAATTTAAAAAAAAAAAATCAATAGTTGAGAAATTTCCTCAATAAAAATTATTGGTAAGCATCCAAAAAGAAAGTTGGGAAGAGTCTAGAATGTGTTGTTTGCATAAATTGAATAAACTAGGAATCTATAAGGTGATTAAGACATAAAAAGCGGGTGATGTGATTTCCCAGCTAATTTAGATGGTTATTACTTATTTTTTAAAATTACATATATTTTTGTAATAATATTACTCAAATTATAAATATTTAATAATAAAAAACGATTGAAATATTTTTTGTATACAAAATTAAAATCCACAATTTTATTTTAAAAATATTAAATAAAATTGACTTAAAACAATATCCATTACTAATTATTGGTTATTTTGAACAAGTAACAAATGTAAAAGATACCCTATTCTTTTGCCCTAGTTTGAGGGTCTATGATGGCACCAATGGGGCCCACCTTGTGCACAGTCAAACCCCACCGCTTGAGAATGAGGAAGGAACCCATCATTCAGCAAACCTCGTTTCTCTCTCTTTATTATTGTCTTCTTTTCCAACACAAATCATTCCAATGTTTAAGGAATTTTTTATAAAATTAATTTAAAATTAAAAAATAAATCATATACTCTCCTAATAATTTACATTTTCCTACATGTTGTTAAATTAACCCTCAAATTCATTTTTATTTTTAGATAATGTTTATGTAAATTTTGACTTTAAAAAGGCCATTAAGACCAATTTGATCTTTGATATTACGAGGAAATTAAGTTAATTTTTAATTTTGATAACCTTTAATTATTTCAGTATTTAGAAATTATTTTGTATAGTAATATATAATTTGAGCTCTAATATTATTAAATCAACCAATCTAATAATGTTAGTTAATTTAATTTTGTTCTGCAGTTGTAACAAATTTAAAGACTAATTTTTTATAGTAATAGAATCAAATTAACGAATAATATTATTTTTAGAAACTAAACTGAGACTTAACTTGTAGCATGTTATCCAATTACGAATATTAATATAAGATCTTCAAATTAATTACTTAATGTTCTAAAAGTCCTATTCTTCAAAACTTTAATTGGAAAATGACAATTTAACGATTTTATACATTAACAAAATTATTATTATTATTTAAAAAATACCAATTTTAATTTTTAAAAATAGAGGCCTTTATTTTCTAATAAAAGAAGGTTTGCATTTTGTTTACGTTCCCAAACCACAATTGCTTCCTTCTGTGATATTTGGGTACCCAGGAAGGTACGATCATAGCCACAGCCACAACCACACCCAAATCTCAAAACTCTAATCCCTTCTCTCTCTCTCTTTCTCTTTCTCTTTCTCTCTCCTCTATAAAGCAAAACCCTGCTTCTTCTCACACCACAACATTACCCTCGCAAATTCTCTCTCCTCCCTCCAATCCCCATCTGGGTTTCCCAATTCATCCCATTGGGTTCCCAAAGCCATAACTTTTTTCTTCCATTCAACGCCAAAAACAACACAAATATACAGAGAAGAAGAAGGACAGGGAAGAGAGAGAGAGAGAAATAAAAAAAGAGAAAATATTGAAATTTGGGGGCTGTTGCAGGGTTAAAACCCGGGGTTGAAGCATTGCAGACATCACGGCTATTCAACGAGTTAGTCACTCTCTCTCTCATGCCCGTTGTGACCGACGTAAGGGTTGTGTGACGGCGGAGAGCAACCCTTCGCCGCACGGCGGGCGTGGCGCTTTGCCTTCTGAAGGTGGAAGCCCCTCCGACCTACTCTTCCTCGCCGGCGGTGGTTCTTCTTCTTCTTCAGTTCTTCTAGTTTAGGATAATTAGGATTCGCTTTAGTAATAGAAGTTCTGTTATTTGTAAGGGGTTCCTTGTTTTTTTTTTTTTTTTTGTGATTGTTGTTGGATTTTGGTGAGGAGGTAGTAGTTGTGTTAGAAAATATGTTGAGCATTAAGAGGGTTCCCACTGTCGTTTCTAATTATCAGAAAGAAGAGGCTGCTTCAGGTTGTGGGAAGAATTGCCTCAAAACTTGTTGCATTCAAGGTTAGTGTTTTTTTTTTTGTTGGGTTTTTTTGGCTTTTATTGATCTGCATCTGATTTTTGTTTTTAATTTTGTGTTTTTTTTTTTTTTTTTGTAATGTTGAGTTTTTTCTTTTGGAAATAGGTGCGAGGATTCCTTTGTATGCTTTTAAGAGTGTTGATAAGGTTGGTGGGAAGGGCTTGCCTTTGCTTGGATGCAAGGAGGAGCAGGATCCTGTGGCATTTCTGGACTCGCTTATTCTTGGAGAGGTAGCTGTGGGATTTTTATGGCTTTCTTTTTGGTTGTAGTTCTTGTTGTGTCGTTGTTTATTATATGTTTTGATTTTATTTTTTTAAAGATTTGGTGGTTTTGTTTGTGTCTGCAGTCGTGTCATCATGTTATGTGTTTTTATTTTTCCAGTTTTGTTTGCTTCAGTCGTTAAGATTGGTTTTATGTGTCTAAAAATAGTAATTTTCCTTTATTGTAAAAGGAAATGTTTCTTATTCTTTTATAATTCCTCAATATAGTAAATGTTTGCTTTTACAAGGTGGATCTTATAACTTTTAATTGATTAAAGTCATAATGTTGTCCTTTGTTTTTTTAAAGCTCTTGTGGTTTTCTTTGTGTATGTAGTTGTGTCATTATGTTAACGGATTTATTAAGTATTTTGAGTTTTGATGGTGTAGTGGGAAGATCGCATGCAGAGAGGGCTTTTCCGCTATGACGTTACTGCCTGTGAAACCAAGGTCTGATTTTTTTCTCCACATTTATTTTTTACCCCTTATGGTTGTGTTTTTTTTGCATGGATGTTGTTTGTGGATTTGGTTTGATGTGTTTTTTTTTGAGTAGGTGATTCCGGGCGAGTATGGTTTCATTGCTCAGCTCAATGAAGGTCGTCACCTCAAGAAAAGGCCAACTGAGTTCCGTGTTGATAAGGTCCTCCAGCCTTTTGATGAAAGCAAATTCAACTTCACTAAAGTTGGGCAAGAAGAGGTCCTGTTTCAGTTTGAGGCTAGCAATGATGGTGAAGCACAATTCTTTCCAAATGCACCGATTGATGTTGAGAGTTCTCCTAGTTTTGTTGCCATCAATGTAAGTGGCTTAGCTTTGTTTTTAGACTGGCATTGACGGTTCTATGCAATTGATGCTTATATGATGCCATCTGTTTATGTACTTTCTTGAACAGGTCAGTCCAATTGAATATGGGCATGTGCTGCTGATTCCACGTATCTTCGAGTGTTTGCCCCAAAGGATTGATCATGCAAGTTTCTTGCTTGCACTTCACATGGCAGCTGAAGCTGGAAATCCATATTTTCGGTTGGGTTACAACAGCTTGGGAGCATTTGCGACTATTAACCATCTCCACTTTCAGGTATTGCTGTTTCCCTTGAGATTACCACTATTTTGTTTATGTTAATTACTGGCTTATTGCATTCCTTATCTGTAGTGTAATAGTAGAAATCAAATTGATACTTTGTAATTATGACAAATTCAGGCATATTACCTGGCTCTGCCTTTTCCTATTGAGAAGGCACCTACCAAGAAAATTGCCAAGTTAAGTGGCGGTGTGAAAATATCCGAGTTGCTGAACTATCCAGTCAGAGTTCTCGTCTTTGAGGGCGGTCATAAGCTAGATGATCTAGCTAATGCCGTTTCAGAAGCCTGTATCTGCCTTCAACACAACAACATACCTTACAATGTACTCATTTCAGACTGTGGAAGGCAAATCTTTCTCTCACCACAGGTAAATTGGTTTTTGGCCTCTTTGGAAGAGCTTATGAACAATTTATAAAAATAGCTTATGACTTTTATAAGCTTTTTTCAACTTATTTCAATAAGTCTAAATTTAAAGAATAAATCATCGATTAAAAATAACTTATTGAATAAGTACTTGAATGAGTTATGTATCACCCTTTTCTATCTTTGTTTTTTCCCCCAAAAATTACACTCATTAGTTGCTTGAATAATATTTTTGGTGACACACAAAATTGCAAACGTTCCAACAGTGCTATGCAGAGAAACAAGCTCTTGGAGAAGTGAGTGCTGAGCTTCTGGAGACTCAAGTTAATCCTGCTGTCTGGGAAATTAGTGGACACATGGTGCTGAAGAGGAAGAAGGACTATGATGAGGCATCTGAAGCCAATGCACGGAGGCTTCTTGCAGAAGTGTCCCTCTCTGAAGAGAGGTTCCAAGAAGTCATTGCTCTTATTTTTCAATCCATTGCATCTGCTGAGATGGATGTCAAACCTGAATGTCTCGAGGAAGTTGATGCAATTAGCTCAAGCACTAAGCCTACTATGGTGGCTGGTTCTCAGCAGTGCCTTGTTCTCCATTAACAAGGCTCTGATGAACTAAATTGTAGTTATTATGCACTAATGAAATTGCTACATTTATGTTTCAGTTTAAATCTGCACCTTCTACGGTGGCAGTTACTACTCAAGTCTGGAGTATGATGTATTTTTTAAGGACTTGAAAAAGTAAGTGGTTTGCATTTTTATTATGTTATGGTGCTTGATGCCTTGTGGTCTATGTAAAAACACGATGTAATAACTGCTCTTGTGAGCATTGACTTAGTTACTGTTTGTCGTTGAATAATGTTACATATGCTGTTGTATTGTTTTATAACTTTTTAACATTTTTTTAATCTTTTGATTACAGTAATTATACTTCAATTTTGCCCCATAATCCCGAATGAGATGTGAGGTATGGGGAGGTCTCACTATATGAGAAAGTTCCATAAATCTCACATGGGGTTTCTTTGTTTCTCTCAATATCTCCCTATACTAAATACTAATTATAACTAGAAACAATATTACTGATGACTAATTCTAATTTACTCTAGGATTAACACATTATTTCGATTTCAATCTGACATATCAAAATTTATTGATGATCCTTGTGAGGGAAAAACGTGCATAGAAATGTTGATTAACTAAATTTTTAAAGAATACAAAAGTTCACTCAGCTTTTTGTAATTATTTGTATCATGCCGTAGGATTAAAAACTACATTCTCAATAAAATTACAAATACATATTATAGGGTTGAGTTTCTATATAAAGTTTACCAATTCATCAATGATATACATTGTTGTTTTTAACATATTAATACTTACTATAAATTGAAAAAACTTACCATGAAATTATGAAATCATTTTGAATGATGGTATGTTCTTATCATGCATCTTGTAGAAGTAGGATATGCAAATTAAAATAACAAAATAAAAAAAAAGGTGACATAAGGGTGTATAGAATCCATTTTTTTCATCCAAGTTGTAGTAAAGACATTCAAGTTATGTAATCGAGTCTGTCAAATTTTAACAGGAAAAATAACAGGATTACTCTGTACACGATAAAAATTTTAGAGGTTAAAATAGATCTTTTAAAAGTTCAAGAATTAAGTTACATATGATTTTTTTAATTTTTAATTTTTTGGTGAAGTTACGTATGATTTAAGCTAAAGGAGGCTAATTTATTTATTGTCCTAATACATTTATTATTGTAAGATTAAAATGAAGGTCTTGTTTTAATAATTTGTAAATAAAACAATAGATAAAACAGATATATATTCCATTCAATCAAAATAGACTTGTTTTTTAAAAAAATGTCTATATTCATGTAATTTTTCATAAAATTTCATATTTTAATTTATGTATATAAAAACAGAAAAAAGTGGACAAAATTCAACATAAACAAGAAAAAACAAAGAAACATAAAAAAGTAAAACGCATTAGACCTTTATTCAATATATGAGGATGAAACACGAAATGTGATATCCGAAAAAATTGGAACGATGTGAAGATGAAATGAACCTACAAAGAGCGTCTGAAAAAGCGAGCTTCTTCAGTTTAGAATGATGATCTTTAACCCTAACTGAAGAAGAGATTATTGGAAACACGCTGAATCCAGAACCCCCAAATTTTTATGCTCAATTTATGTTCGCCGCCGCAGATACAATTCTTCTCTGTTATGCCCATTTTTCTTAAATGCAAGTACAGTTTCGGATCCTCTCAAATCGAATATTTATATATTACAAAATATAAAACTAAAATTGTAATATATTTTATTATACATATTTTTAAATGAATGATATTAATATAAATATAATATTATAATGTGCAAAATATTATCTATTAAATTTTAAAATATTATTATTAATATCTAATTTTTTAATAAATATAAAATTAAAAATAATAAAAATCATTGAACAAGGTTGCGACTATGAAAAATATAATATGAATTTGTCTTTAAAATATACTATATCTAATTTTTAAGACTCAAATCCATCAAAATTAACTTTACACCAAACCAAGTTTATGGTACAAGTGAGATCATGAAGATCAATATCAAACGATCAAGTATTAACCATTTCAACTTAGAAGTTTCATGTTCAGTTCTTAATTAGGCCAAGTGCTTGTTTATGTAATAATGAAATATCAAGTTCTTATTAAGATTTTTTTCTTAAAATACGATATTTTATGTAGCTAAGATTTCAAAGGGCCATTTTTTTTTCATTAAGATCTAGAAATCCTTATTAGTTTCTCTATTATTTGTTTAATGCCTTAATTATAGTTTTGTGGTGTAAATTCCAATAATTTTTTTTCTATAATTCTGTAATTGTCTTAATTTTTAAAAATTATCAATGCCCTTTTTATTTCTTGACTTTTCCATCCAATTAGATCCTCACTTTGCTGAATTTGGTGTGACTTTAAGCTACTTTTTCTTTACGTCTCACATTTGTTTTGCTAAAGAGACATAAAAGGTTGTATGATATGTCATGCCGGTGCCAGTTTCTTTCTCGTTGTTCAAAAACCAATAAAAGCTTTGTCGTTTTCACGTGAATTAAGATGCCTACAACGTGAAATAAATTTGTGAAAAACGTTACTCAATTTTAATGATTGATCAACCAAAAACCCCCACGTTAATCCTAATGCATTTGTTAAAAAGCTAAGAACTTCCCTAACACAAGGCTTAACATAATCCACAACCCATTGCACTAGCCCCCACAATTCCCATCTATGTAAAAAACAAAATAAAATGCATGATGTGCAAATCAAAGGTTTGTTAATACTAAATTCTCTATATATACCTTTCAAAATCCAAGCCCTTTAGCCACAAGTTTCAAGATGAATACAAACTTAGTACAAACTTTGGCACTAGTGACATTGATTGTGTTGGTTTTGATCCCAATTGAGGGAAAATCAGCACCAAACACATTGCATCAAAATGTCACTAGTGTCTCATCACCATGGTTGAAAAACATCTTGAATCATAGAACTTCAGGGTGCCGTAAGAGACCTTGGGTGTGCCAAGGAAAATTTTCACCAAGGAGCATGTGTTGTAGGAACCGTTGTGTGAATGTGACTTCAGATATAAACAATTGTGGGTTGTGTGGAATTAGGTGCCCTTTCAATTGGAGGTGCTGTGGAGGCTTGTGTAGGAATATAAACTTAAGCATTTTCAATTGTGGTAGGTGTGGACATAGATGTCCCTTTGGGAAATTTTGCTTCTTTGGGATGTGTGGCTATGCAGAGGGTCCAGCTCTTCCATTCCTTCCTAAGTCACCAGTTTCCCATCAACCACATTATGTTGCAAGGGACAAATTTAATTGACTATATAAATCATGTTTTATGTAAGTTCAAAATATTGCACAACTTTCATATTTATGTTATTAGGAAAGCATAGGTATTTGGTCATATGTTCTACATATGGCAGCAATTATCTACCTTATTGTTTACTTACTACCATTTTGTTATGCAAGTTCAAAATATTACTAGATGCATTGTTATATGGAATACAGAAATATCATATTTGTTATTATGAAAACTTTGTATAAATTTATATTAAAATCCTAAAAAAAAAACCAGTAGGTGTTGAGAAATGAATAATATAAAAAGGACAAAATAGAAAAAAGAGATATAAAAGTCCAAAAGTGAAATGAAAAGATGAAAAAAGGGATTCACAAGACAAAAGAGTAGGAGATGCTTAGAGAAACATAATAATGTCTAGTGAATTAAAGGAAAATAAGGTAGGTTATAAGACAACAACTTCAAATATTTTTTAATAAAGGCAGTCAATGGCACTTCTCATTTCATCAGATTTAAAGAAAAACGATTCCTAAAGAGAAAAAGTAAAAGAGAGCAGTACTCAGAAAGAGAAGAAAGGTCACTTCAAGATTGCTTTAGTAATGAGGCTTATCGAAAAAGTAAAATGGAGTAATGGATTGGAAGAGAAGTTAGAACTCAAAATGGAAACAACTTTAGGAAGGAAAGAACCCATAGTTGATGCCATAATGAATGATCAAAAGGTTCATAATGAAGACGGGACAGTTAGTAAGGATGTTTTGCTACTTGGAGAGCAAGGCATTCAAAGCGGATTATATAAGGAATGAAGGATGAGAGATAAGGGACCTTTTTTCTTCTTTGATGGTTGGGTACTTGGAAGTGAGATAACCTCCCTAAGGAATAAAAAAGAAGTACGAAGGATTCACTCTTAGTAACAACCTTCCATGAATGATGAAAGATGAAACTTCGTAATTTGTGGATGCTGCATAGTACAAAGGAGCACATTTAGACGAGGGCTCTTTGACATACTTGAGCGAGGGAATGACGCGCAAGGGAAGTTGAGAGAGCACTCTACTAAACGGAACTCATAATTAGTATTTAGCTTGGAAAGGTTTCAAGCGCACTTTACTCTAATAAAGACACTCTACGCCTTAAAAAGGAGATAATAACTGCCTTTGTGCATAACCTACATCTTGAGACATTGTACAACTTCCTACAAGAATAAAGAATGTCAAGAGATGGAGGTAACTCATTCTTTTATAAAGTACTTGTTACGCTCGCCTCGTTCACCTCTACTGGCCGAGTGTCCATGAACTCCCATTTCAGTATATTTCATAAGCTTATGAACCTACTCTCTTGTAAGATCTAGTTCTAAAATAGTAGAAAAACATGTTGTACAAATTATATATAAATGGGACAGTCTATAATAGAGGACGAATAGGAATACTTTGACTATTGAAAAACTTAATACCTTAGTTGATGACTATACTAAGGATAAAATATTTCTATAAAATAATTTTTAACTTGAAAAAATTTATGGGAACACACTAGTAAAAATTACAAGTACATCATGACTTAAAAAAAGATTACACCTAAGTTGAAGCAAGACAACAAGGGAGCTGAAAAGGTAAAAAAAAGAATATATTATTTTCAAAGGAAACAACAATATGAGAGATCTGAATATGATAATTGATGTAAAAAGAAAGATAAACTATATTTATGTGATTCAAAATTAAATACCACCTTCTTAGATACATTATTAAATGATAAAAATATGTTTATAATTTTAATCAATTGTCTAAGTGACATATAATTATATTTTAATAATTTTTATTAACTGGTTGATTAAAATTATAAATTTATGGTGGATGTGTAATAGTCTTTAAATATCTAAATTATTTTTTTATCTAAGTTAACTCAACCTGTAAATTTCATGAATATTTTTTCACATTAAGAACTATTTTTATTTATTTGTGAATTTTTTTATTCATTCTAATAAGTTATTTTTTTATTCTTATTCATTTAGCCAACGCTCTTTTCTCCCTATATCATTTATTCTTTAATCAAAACCTAAAATTTTCCAAAGTAGCATAAGCACATTTGTTTTCTCCCTATATTCTTTCTCATTGTTTTTCTCTGTTCTATCGAAGTACATGTAAGCTCCCTCTCCCTCTCTCTCCCTAAAAAATTATGCTATCGAATGTTCCTCTCTCTCTCCACCCTGCGCCGCCACCACCTTCTCTCTTCTTTGTCCTTCATCCACCCCTTTTCCACAACCTCCTCCTTAGTCTCGTCGAACCTTAACCACGTTTCTCAATCCATTTCTTATCCCAATGCTTCTTTCAAAACCCACCTCTTGCAACTCTCCCTTGTCACCCCTGAAACCATTCGCACGTGTTGGAGGCTTCCCTTGTTGGAACCCCAACACGTCCTTCAATTATTGCTCGGTTTTCAATCCCAGTGTGTCAATGGTGAGATTCGGGTCGAAAAGGTTAGATCTTTGTGGCAGATTTTCAAATGGGGTGCTGAGAGAAACGTGGGTTTCAAGCATCTTTCGCAGTCCTATGAAATCATGGCATCGTTGCTTGTGCAAGTTGGGTTGCTTAGTGAAGCTGAGGAGTTGATTTTTGCATTTAAAAGTTGTGAGATTTTCGATGATTTGATTAAAGGGTATGTTAGTGTGAAAGAATTGGAAAAGGGTGTTTTTGTGTATGATGTTATGAAGGGTCGAGGTATGGTTCCTACTAGGTCTTGTTATGGTGTTTTGATTGATCTCTTGGTGAGAATGAAAAGGACTCAGCTTGCATTTCGCGTGGCTTTTGATATGGTGGAGTTGGGTGCACCTTTAAGTGGTGATGGCATAAGGGTTTTGGAGAAGGTTATGGTGCTGCTATGTGTCGATGGGAAGGTTCAGGAAGCAAGAAATTTGGTGAAGAAAGTGTTGCCTCTTAATTCTGAGGTTAGTGGTTTGGTTTTTGATGAAATTGCATTTGGATACTGTGAGAAGAAGGACTTCAAAGATTTGCTTAGTTTCTTTGTTGAAGTGAAGTGTGCCCCTACTGTTACTGCTGCTAATAGAGTTATCAATTCTATGTGTAGCAGTTATGGTGTAGAAAGAGCAGGGTTGTTTTTGCAAGAGTTAGAAAGTTTAGGTTTTACTCCTGATGAAGTAACCTATGGGATATTAATTGGTTGGAGTTGTCATGAAGAGAGGATAAAGAATGCATTGAGTTATTTATCAGTTATGCTATCAAAAAACCTTTTGCCGTGTATATATACTTATAATGCTCTTATAAGTGGGTTGTTTAAAGTAGGTATGTTAGAGCATGCTCATGACATTCTTGATGAGATGATTGAGAGGGGGACACTACCTGATATTTCAACTTTCAGAGTTCTCATAGCAGGTTATTGTAAGTCTAGACGGTTTGATAAAGTGAAACTTTTGGTTAAAGAGATGGAGAGCCGTGGGTTAATTAAACTTTCTTCGCTGGAGAATCCAATTTCCAAGGCATTTGTGGTTTTGGGCTTGAACCCTTCGAGTGTGAGGTTGAAACGTGACAATGATGGGAAACTTTCAAAAACGGAGTTCTTCGATGATATTGGAAATGGACTTTATTTGGATACTGATGTTGATGAGTATGAGAACCACATTAATTTGGTTCTTGAAGAATCCATGCTGCCCAACTTCAATTCATCTGTTAAGAAGGAATGTAGCAATAGTAACCTTAACAATGCATTGATTTTTTTTGAAGCAATGCTTTGTTGGGGACAAGAATTGCTGTTACCTGAATTCTCAGAGTTAGTGAGACAACTTTGTTCTTCTCGGTCACAAATTAAGTCAATGACCAAGCTTTTGGAGAAAATGCCACAGTCGGCCCATAAACTCGACCAGGAAACACTCAATCTGGTTGTACAGGCATACAGCAAGAAGGGCTTACTGCACAAAGCGAAAAATATACTGGATGGAATGCTTCTAAACAAATTTCATGTCAAGAATGAGACATATACTGCCATATTGTTGCCTTTATGTAAGAAAGGCAACATGAAGGACTTTAACTATTACTGGGATATGGCTTGTAGAAACAAATGGTTGCCAGATTTGGAGGACTTTGAATGTCTTCTTGCCCATATCTGCCATTGGAAAATGCTTAAGGAAGCTTTACAATTTCTTGAAATCATGCTTTTATCATACCCTTACATAAAGTCAGATATATGTCGCATATTTCTAGAAGTACTTTCTACAAGGGGTCTTACAGGCACTGCATTTGATGTTTTAAAACAACTAAAACCTTGCTTCATATTGGATCATGCTGCTTATAATAATCTTATAAGGGGTTTATGTAATGAGGGAAAATTTTATTTAGCCTTTACATTCTTGGATGAAATGCAAGACAGACAGTTGGCACCTTGTTTGGACACTTCAATTGTTTTAATCCCTCAATTGTGCAAGGCTTATAGATATGACAAAGCTATTGCATTAAAAGAAATCATTGTGAAAGAGCAGCCTTCATTTTCTCATGCTGCTCATTGTGCATTGATAAGTGGATTTTTTAGTATGGGGAACACGGGGAGAGCTGACACACTGTTCCGCGATATGTTGTCTAAAGGACTAGGTACAGATGATGAACTGTGTAACATGCTTATTCAGGGTTACAGCCAGGCTAATGACTTGCGAAAAGTGGGGGAGGCACTTGGTGTTGCAATTAGAAGGGGTTGGGAGCTATCTGTCAGAAGTTATAGATATTTGGTGCGATCAATGTATAGGAACGGTAAAGTCCTGTTAGCTCCTAGTTTAAAGAACCTTAAGCTTGCACAATGTCCACCTGATGGCCTTATCATATATAACATTCATATTTTCTATCTCTTGTCAGCTGGAAACAGTCTGATTGTTAATAAGATACTAAATGAAATGGAAGAGAAGAAAGTTGTACTCGATCAAGTTGGTCATAATTTTCTTGTCTATGGCTTCTTGCAATGTAAAGATTTGTCTAGTTCTTTGCATTATCTGACTACCATGATTTCAAAGGGACTCAAACCAAATAACCGAAGCTTGAGGAAGGTAATAAGTAGCCTGTGTGATGCTGGGGACCTGCATAAGGCCCTGGAATTGAGTCAAGAAATGAGATTAAGAGGCTGGATACACGATTCTTCTGTTCAAACAACTATTGTAGAAAGCCTTCTTTCATGTGGTAAGATACAAGAAGCAGAAACTTTTTTGGGCAGGATGGGAGAAGAATCTCTAACTCCTGATAATATAAATTATGATTACCTGATTAAGTGTTTTTGCCAGTATGGAAGATTGAACACAGCAGTTCATCTTATGAACACAATGCTGAAGAAACAAAACATTCCAGTTTCCACCAGTTATGATTTTCTCGTTCATGGATTTTGTGCACAAAATAAATTGGATATAGCTTTGAATTTTTATTCTGAGATGTTGAATTGGAATCTCAAACCAAGAATTGATACATTGGAAATGCTTGTCCATAGATTCTGCCAAGATGGGAAGACAGAACTAGCAGAACATTTCCTAGTGGACTTGATTCATAGAGGTGAAACTCCTTCTAGAAAAATGTATTGCTCTGTAGTTAAGAGTTATCACATGGAAAAGAATCTTAAGAAGGCATCAGAGCTCATGCAAGCCATGCAGGAAAGTGGCTATCAACCTGACTTTGAGATACATTGGTCTCTCATAAGCAACTTAAACAGTGCCAAAGCGAAGGACACTGATAATGGGAACAAGGGATTTTTATCAAGACTTCTTTCTAAAAGTGGCTTTCTTCAAAGGAAATGATTCAAAGGATAGGCTGGAGTGGAACTTCTGTTGTCAAATGGATATTTGTTGATTGTATTTGTAAGTACACTGTACACTAATTACTTCATTTTTTGGGAAACTTATTGAGAAAGAGCAGTGGATAACAATAATAAGGATCATGAGGATCCCTTAACCACTTTTGAGTGTACCAATCCAATTGTATAGTGATTTTTAACCTCTTTCTATATTTTGGATTAGGGACTTTATGTAAACATTCAAATATATCATGGTATAATATAGTTTTGGAGTAAACTACACATCATCATAGTAGTAATATTACATCATCATCGAAGAAAAATATTTTAAAAAGTAAATAAGTCAAGAAATACCCCCTTTTGCTTAATATCTCCATGACAGCTGCAAATGCTCTAAACACCCAGAAAGTCTAGCATGCTCATATTTTTTAACAATATACTTTTATTCTTTTCCTAATTTAACAATATATTTTAAAAGATGCTATTTAATGTTTTTTTTTTAAATTTTAATAGTAAAAATATAAAGAATTTCATCTAAATTTTATTATTTAACCTACAAGCTTTTTTTTTCTCTTCCAATTATAATTGAATTATTATCTCACTTTAGTTTTTGCCCATTATACATTCATGTTATTGTCAAACTCAAATATGATTTCATGAGCTCAGAATGGAAAGAGAATATAAGAAATGGGTTGAAATAATAAGGTAATTCACATGGAATGATTTGTTTGCAACATGAAATTAATATAAGATAAAATAAATATAAGATAAAAAAAACTTTCACTCAAGTGTCACTAAGACTTTTAGCAATGGGTTCTCTTAGGTTTAAATTTTGGGTATATATATGTTTTTCAAACTTATTTAATATTTATTAGCTGAGAGATAAATACAATTATTTATATTAATTTATTTTAAATTCTTTCTATAATTTAATATTTAAAATAATAATTTTCTAATTTCATTTGTAACTAAATATAGACTAAAATCTTAACAATTAAGTGGCAAAAATGTGTATTCAACATATTAAGATAATTTTGATGATTTAACTATTCTTGCCACTCATACTCAAATATCTCATATATATTGAAAGACGAATTTGGTTACTCTAACTTGAAAAGACGTGTAATGTAAAAAGAAGTGATTATATTATTTTTTTTAATTTTAAAGTTAGTTATATGTAATAAATTTTAAAAGTTAAATAAACATTGGATATATACTTACTTACTTTACCTATCTTTTTAATTTATAGAAATTAAATTCATGAAAGATAAATGCTAATTAGTACCACTTGTTAAAGAATTAAAAGTAAACTTTTTTATAAAAAGATATTTTTAATACACCTTATTTTTATTTTTAATGCAGCTTTTAATTCTTTAACCAGTACCCTCCAAGCATTACTACATTAGTAAAATTTATCTTATACTTATTAGAAGCATCAAAATCTTATTTTTTTTTTCTTTAATTAAGCAAACAGGTATTCCGAATAGTGCCTGAAGAGCAAAGTGACGATGGAACTTGAGATTGATGCTAAAACGACGTCGTAAGTGTTATATAGTAGTATTTTGCTTAAGAGTGCAGTGCTGACAGAAGCAGCAGCATCAACGACAATGGAGGCGCCGCCGTTTGCTTCTTCTGCTTCCTCTTCTTTCATTCGCAGCAAACCTCTCTCATCCACACGATTCTCCCAAAATGTCAATGTCAAATACCCTAAGAACTTCTCAGTTCGCGCTTCTTCTTCTGAGGATTCTGGTTTGTTCTCGCTTTCTGAACATACCCTTTTGAAAACTTCACTTTCAAATGCCCTTTTTATTTTCCTCTTCTGGGGTTCTGATTTTTCTCTCGGTTTTTAGTTGTGACTTTGCTTGATTATGGTGCTGGCAATGTTCGGAGTGTCAGGAATGCTATCAGATTCCTCGGGTTTGACATCAAAGATGTGAGCTTTTTCCATCATTTTCTAATGGGTTATATAAATGTTTTTGTGTTTGTTTGTTTTTGAATCTGAAGCAATTTTGATTTTTACTAGGTGCAAACTCCACAAGACATTTTGAATGCGAGCCGGCTAGTCTTTCCAGGTGTTGGAGCATTTGCTGCTGCCATGGAGGTCTTAAGCAAAACTGGGTATTTCTTAACATGATTATTTTTTTATATATGATGATGATGTTGATGATGAAATTGCAGTAATAATAGTACTAGTGATGATGACGGTGATGTAATTGTAGTATATAATAGTACTAGTACTATGATGATGATGATGACGTAGTTGTAGTAACAATAGTACTAGTACTATGGTTGTGTTAAGATATTTTTGCTGGGTTATGTAGTAGGCTATTGAAGGACTGAGGAATGCAAGCGACGTATTCTTTTGAATATTACACCCTTTTTTTAAAAAGAAGATCAAAATACTTGTTTTGTAGATTGATAACATTTTATAAATTACTTTGACTTTCAAAAAATTTAACCAATCATAAAAAAGTATGTTGAAGAGTGTGTTTTAAAGAATATGGTTGATGACATTTCTCTTGAAGGATAACTCATAGCAAATGATAAGATATGGTATTGTTTTCAAATTATACAACAAGAATGATGATCTTCATTCTCTTTTGTTTGATTAAATTTAAAATGTATATTAAAAATGACTTGATCCAAGGCTCTATTATGTATTGGAGTTCACAACTACTGTACTGTTTGTAAGTAAGGTGGGTTAATAGAATTTTTGGGGATAATTAAGTTAGAACGGATTGGTGGTTGTTCTAGACTTATGCTATTGTACTTAAAATAAACTCATTTTTACATCTGAGGTTCATTTTACTGCTGAATTTATTGGTTCAGACTTTAAACTAGGCATTGTCATGTATACATTTGAAGTTCTGAAGCACTTTGTAGTTTTGATCTTTGAATGGTTGCACTCTGAATTTTAGCATGAGGAAAATGCTTTATTTTGCTTTTCATTTCAGTATCAAGCATAATGTGATGCCATATTGTTTGCAGGATGGATGAGGCACTATGTTCATATATTGAAAAGGACCGCCCATTTTTAGGCATTTGTCTTGGACTTCAATTACTTTTTGAATCTAGTGAGGAGAATGGACCAGGTCAGTTATATGTCCTTCTTGGTTTTTGTTATCATAATCATTCAATTCCTCTCAACATTTTTTTAATATTGTGGCATAAATGGTTACCTAGGTTTCTATCCATGTAGATTTGAAAAAAAAAAACATTATTAGTATTAATCTTTATTATATATGCTTCAATAGTTATAGAACATTATATGAAAGTGTAACTACTATTCAGTTATAGAACATTTTTATCTTAGATTTGAAAGATTTTTCAGTTAGGCTAATTAAAATGGGAGGAGAATCTTTTGCCTTCAAATTTTATTTTAAGGCATACTGTGTAACGTAAGATGTACTTATAATTAAATCTGGTTGAAATAGTGCTTCAATGCATACTTTTTTTTTCTGCTTATAGAGTCCTGGTTTATGAGAGAAGAAGAGTAAAATCAAGCTTGAAATATGTGAAGCCTTGGAATTGAAGTCTTTGTTTTTTCCTGGTTAAAATAAGAGTAAGACAAAGATAAGTAAACATAAGTTAGCATTGTTTGAACATGAAAATTGGGGATCACATTATTTCACAAGTTCATTGGTTAAGAGTGATGGGGAATTGGAAATATTGATGGTGATGTCACACATAGGATTGATTCAAGTAATTGGATGAAATTGAGAAATAATGCAGGCATTGTTTTTTATTGCAAAGTTTCATCAAACTTAAAAGTAAAATTATAGTGGACAAACCATATGGTCAATGATGCTCTATGGTGATCCAGTAGTAAATATTGGGAAATGAAGTGCTAACAAGAGTGGAAACAAATTTAGTTCAGTAGTGAATAAGTTGATATTCAAGAAAATATAAAGTGAATGACATTTTGCAAAGTCAAGAGTTAAAGTGAGGATTTTGTGGAGTTAGGGGTTTAAGTGACACACTTACAATTTCAGGGGCTTGAATAGAGGTTTACACAAATTATTTAGTTCATCAACTTGCCTTGACAATATGCATTATCCTCAGATGATTTTATTTTGTCATGATTGTAGTTTTCTTATCATGGGTAACTAGGTAATAAATAATCTATTGAGAGTGAATAGAAACTGTAACCTTAGTTATTTTTGGTATGCTTCTCTAACATAAAAAGAGAATGTGGGGGATAATGCTCTCTGATTTAACAGAAAGCTCAATTTCCTGAGACTACAAGAGCAAGTACCTTTTTTAATCACTCTCTCAATTAAGTATTGAACGGACAAATATGTTTGTGAATCAGTAAAAGGTCTTGGCTTAATACCTGGAACTGTTGGGAGATTTGACTCATCAAATGGTTTTAGAGTACCACATATTGGCTGGAATGCTTTACATGTCACACCGGACTCCAGAATCTTGGACGATGTTGGAAATAGCCATGTCTATTTTGTGCACTCTTATCGTGCCATGCCTGTATGTCTCTACTTTTCTTTGAAAATCCTTTTTGCTTTGGCTGTCACATTTTTACTCCTTTCATTAGAGTGTTTTGTTAATCTGAATTGTTGTTTTTCAGTCAGATGACAACAAAGAGTGGGTATCCTCCACCTGCAACTATGGTGACAAATTTATAGCCTCTGTTAGAAGAGGAAACGTGCATGCAGTTCAGTTTCATCCAGAGAAGAGCGGAGGCAAGTTTTATCTTCTTTTCCTACCCTTCAGTTTTTTTAGCTATCTTCCCCCTGCTCTCCCCCTCTCTCTTTTTACATTTCATGTATAGCACCATAAATGATGGAAGCTGCAATCTTTGTTGAATTTCTTATTCTTCATTAGCTTGTAATAATTTACTTAATCAACATTATTTTGAAATTTGAAGTAATACGCTTCATGCAATTTTTCACAATCCTTTCTCCCTTAGAGGAATAATTGAAGGGTGATCTAAGGTTCCAAATCCAGTTGCCTCAAAAAAAGAAAATGAAAAAAAAGGAAACTATATAA